TATGCAGGGAGCCGGACACACTGTGCCAGAATACAAACCACAGGAGGCTTTGCAGTTCTATTCGCGTTGGCTGAAGGGCCTTACGATTTGAAACAAAAGCTGTTTATTTATCTTCATATATATTATGGGACAAAATACTATATAGTTATGAACTCATTCTCTGCCCTTTTCAAGTCTCTTTGTCTTGATTGATTGTTGAACTTGAGCTATGGAAAACAGTTAGAATTATTTTTCATAAGATGGTGTAATTGCTATTTATTCAATAAAAAAGAAATGTTGGTGCAGTATACATGTTTCTGGCCAAATGGAAGTTCTTAATGAGAAAAAAATGAGCATGAGATTGAGGGTATTTTTCAAGCCACATTTCGTGTTTGAGCTCGTGTTCGTTCAGTAGTTAGCTCGGCTTGTTTAACAAATTCAAAGTCATACTTGTGCTGCTCGAGAGCATGATTCGTGCGCTTGCGAACATGATTGGCTCGATTCTCGATTGTTCTTTCGAAACTTATATAATACAAAAATAATAAATCAGTTATTCGCAAACAAGCTTAACGTCGACTCATTTAATAAAGAAATTTGGTTAGTTGAAATTTGGTTAGTTGTTTGAGTTTGATTCATCTAAAGTAAACGAATTAACCGATATTTATTTGTAAACAACTAAAATTGATTTAATGGGGATAAAATTTGTTTTATTTTTTTTACATGTCAGAAAATCCTCATTTTTGGGGCTTTTTCATGATTTGCTAGAACAAAATAATCCAAGTATTTATTCCATTTTTATTATATCAAATAGAGAAGTTGAAGTTCTGTACTCTGCATTTTTTTTTTTCCTCACAATGCATTTTAAACGTTTCCTCTGCTCCGCAACCGCCAACCGCCGCCGCCACCCCCACCGGCCCCAGCCGGCGGTAAAGCAAGTGGCGAAATCCAACTTCTCGGAGGCTTTATCCGATATCAAAGCCCGCATAACCGATTCCGATTTTATAGCCGTTTCGCTGCAGAAGACCGGCGGCCACTCGGCGCCGTGGCAGAGAACCATTCCCATTGATACGGCGGAGACGGCTTACCTCAAGTCCAAGCGCGCCGCTGATCGGTTTCAGATTCTTCAGTTCTCGGTCTGCCCTTTCTCGGTTAGAGATTCTAAGCTAATTACGCATCCGTAAGCCTCTTGGGTTTGGATTTTTCTTGGCTGAGTGATGTCTGATTAGGTTCGAATTTTCCCCTGTGTGTAAGTAGTAGTTGGTGTAAAATCCATTTTACTTCTGGTGCAGGTATAATTTTCACTTGTTCCCTAGAGACGAGTTGAAAATCGGGATGCCATCTTATAGTTTTTCGTTTCAGTCTTCATATCTGACTTCCATGGCCGGAGAAGGTTTTGATTTTAATGCCTGTATAATCAATGGTATGTTGCTTTCATGTCAGTTCGATGATATCCTAATGATTGTTGGGTAATGGGTATATACACATTTGAAATGGAAATGTCAATAACATGATGAATAAATGAGATATCGACAATTGATCATTGGCGTTTAACAACTACCTTCTGCTGTAGCCTTTGCCTTTTCTTTCGTGCTGTTGTTTCGGAGGACCTGAATGTGTTTCATTTTCTCCCGACAAGGTATATCGTACTTGTCGCGAGCACAAGAATCAGCTGCACGAGCCCGATTTGGGCATTTGTCAAAAGTTAGCAACCCGGGCGAGCCACTATCAGCCCATTCAGTAGCCGATTCCCTATTCACTCAAAGGATACAATCTCGAGTCAAGAGCTGGATAAAAACCTGTAAAAATTCAAACAAAACCGAGGGTAAGCAAAGTGTTAAAACTCTTCCCATAATCTGCTGATTTTATATTTTTAATTTTTTTTTTTCTCTCATGTATCTTTATACGGTTGCTGCAGATGCTCTGATAAGTGCTTTGAGAAAAATTGTATCAGGAAGTGAGGTTTATGGTGATAGACCATCCTTAACTATAGATATCTGCAGTGAACGTCAAGTGCAGCTTGCTTTGGATGTAAGCTTATTGTCGCTATGGTTAGGTTATATATTAGTTTTTTTTTTTTTTTTTTTTTTTT